CACCGGCAAAACACCAGTTCCGCAGATAGACTTCGGTATATTCCAAGCCACTGTAACAGCCGCCGTGACAGCTGTCATAGTGCAACTCAACGCCAACAACACAAACGAAAATGGAAACAGTGTCGACAATTCCAACCGTAGTAACAACCAAAGAAACCAATGAGTGACAACTTACCAAGACACCCCAAACCCAAAACCTAAGAACATGAAACGAAAGTTCAGAAATGAGAAAGGGGACAGTTCGACTCAAGGGCCTACCAAAAGGCAACAAGCTGTAGCAGTCCATACCCCCACTAACCCTACCACCTCAACACCGAGAAAACCATATTATGGAAACCTCCCACACTGCAGCAAGTGCAACTACCATCATCATGGAGCCTGCCGGGAATGGTATTGCGATAAGTACAACAAGAAGGGGCACACCGCCTGTTTCTGTAGGACCCCGACCCAATACATCACTCCAACCCCCGAGGCTGGAATAAGTCCAGTATGCCACACATGTGGTGAAACGGGATATTTCAAGAGAGATTGTCCAACAGAGAGGAATGACGGAGGAGCGGAAGGAGTTTAACAACTGGACATGAAGAAGCAACGAGGAACCCTAACAAGATTTTTGGTACGTTTCTAAACAACAAAGATTAAGCATCGAATCTTCACAAAAAATTTTGCCAATTAAAAATCATAATAATAAATTGTTCCCTCATCCGAACAAATCATATCATTCATAGAAAAACTAAAGATCCTTGCAGGTGAGCTATGATGGCTTAGTGTAAACGCGGGGTCATATATAATTAAGATTCTACAGACTAAGAGTGCGGGATTCCGCCTTAGTTCCTGTTCCTTATCTGGTTGTGGACTTAAGGCAGGGCCACTCAGTCGACTGTATTTTCAATATCAATTATATACGACTAGGTTACACCAAACTATCATAGGGAGACCTAGTAGAAATCAGACTACAAAATTTTATCATCTATCAAGGTACTCGTACTGCTAGTACACCTAATTCCAGTACAAAATATTCGCAGTAATAGTAACAAGGATAAAATTTGAAATTAAAGACATATACAAAGAATACACTATCGTTCTAAACAATCATCTCTTCCAAATCAACTTAACACCTGTTACAATAAGAAATTCCAAGGTCGTCGTTTGACGTGGATCGGCTTGGTCCTCACCATACCAATTTCATGTGCCACGAAGAGACCCTTCGCTTTAACCGACCGATTAACGAAACCCTTTCAACCTATAACGACAAATTCTCGAATCATCCCTGGCATCTAGACTCATAAGTACCTATGTAAGAGATACCATGCTCTTTCCTAGCCCACAATAGAAATAGGAAACAAGAAGCAAAAGACATCAAGGGTATCCTAGAGATTTATAACCTTTCTGAAGTATTTTCCCAGAAGATCTTTCTAAAATATCACCCATGTGCCAAGTTGAGTACGGAATCGACTCGACTCTTGGAGCCGTTCCCATAGCCAAATTCCCAATTCCATTTAGCACCAACATAAACACAGAGATTGTCTGGTCAATGGAACGACCTAATAAGAAAGGAAATTATCAGACCAAGCCTCTAACCTCAGAGAGCACCCGTCTGACTCATAAAGAGGAAGGACAAATTGTTCATAGGACCGTTGACCACCAAAAGTCAAACAAACCCACCATCAAGGGGCCAACATTCCCATTCCGACTCGACGAACCATTTGACCAACTTCGAAGGAACGAGCAAAGGTCGACATACCCATAGTTCAGAACTCTGTAAGAAGAAACTCCCAAGACAACCTGAGACTCGTAGGGCCAGCCGAACCATACACAACCTTAACCTTAGAGACCATAGTGTTCGTCTCAAGGTCTAGAGACACTACCTTTAGGGCGTCAAGTGCACAATCTTCCTTAGACCATTTGAGATCCTCGCCAAGATCGGTCCGGTAGCCCATAGACTTCGGTTACCATAAGAACTCAACATCATGCATCCCACATTCCACGTGTCCAAGTAAACAAGAACCTACACCCCAAAGAGGAACATGTGGAAATCATGGACATGGAAAAACAAAAGAACGAAACAAAGTTAGATACCAATAGCGAAGGTCCGCTGGAACACCAGGCAAGGACCTAAATTTCCCTAGGAACGAAGAGATCAGACGAAACATAGATACCCACAACTTTTCTCCTAGTTGCAAGAGCTGTCCTAGATGCTAATTTCGGGACGAAATTCCCTCTAACGGGGGGATAATGTGACAACTGTCAATTCTAGGTCAAACAAAGTCAACAAAAGTCAACCAGGTCAACTCAACTTGTATTAGAATTTTAGGTGAATTGTGATATTCCCTAATGCGTCCAATGTACGATTGACAAGTTATAATACAAAGCACCACTCTTATTGGAAATTATAGAACATAAACCCTAAATAAGGTTAGTATCGTAACAATTCGGTAATTCAATTTTATATTGTTTTAGTATAAATAATATTCATAACACGATGTAGTGGAATTCATAATCCTTAAACTACATGGCAAATTTATAGCAAATGCTAAAAATACAAATTTTTGGTGAATTCGTCACCAAATACGACAAATTTCATACCCGACCTTAAACGCCTAACTTTTAACGAAAAGAATTTAGGGATCAACCTAATTTTCGTGTAACATATTATTATTTTTTGATAATAATGATTATATTAACAATTTGAATTTTTATAATTCAAATTAAATATTTATACATCATTTATACCATATTTTCTTTATAACTTTTAAAACTTTTAAACCATTTCTAAAACCGTTAATCATTACAAAACTTGTTTTCAAAATGTATAATATCAGAGTTTTCCCAAAAACATAAACAAAACATGAGGAGCTGTACGATCACGCCCTCGCCTTTCCGCGATCCCCTGATGTACCTGAAACAATAAACTGAAACTGTAAGCCCGAGAGCTTAGTGAGTTCCCCCAAAATACTGATACACTGCACATAACATATATATAAACAACCGCAGGTACTGGGTCCACAGCTTTACAGACTGGATTACCCCTGGGCCCACAGTGTGAGTCTGGATTGCTTACCGGGCCCACAGCTCACATCTGGATTGCTTACCGGGCCCACAGCCCATTGTCTTTTTTTAGTACACAAATTACCATTGAACCGGCAACTGTATGTAACCATTAGATTATCCGGTTTCCAAAATGTTCAAAAAATACCATTATTGTTTTTTTAATACAGAAAATAGCATTAAAATATACTATTTGTACACTGAATACCAACAAAGTACACACGTGTTCAAATAAAACCTCGTGGTAACCAGATACTTTATTTAAATGGAAAAATGACTTAAAAGCGTAACGAAGTTTTCAAAATATTCAAAAAATACCGCACTTTTGGTTAACTTCGTTGTTTTCGGAATATGTAGAACACAACCACCAGAGATCATGCACCGTCGTATCAGTTCACAACAGTTGTGCAATTTATTTCATTCCCTTACTCGATCGTTCTTGTGGTAACATGAGACGTAAGTGGGTAATAACCTTAGTTAAACATTCTTGCTTCCTGATCGTATTATATGCCTAAAACCTACAACATATAAACGTTATATAGATAAACATATTATACATCAAAGTCAATCATTCATTAGTGTTGCGGCATAAGAGAGACACAAATGAGAAACGAGTGTGACGTTATGTCATGATAATTCCTAAATGTGGATGTAGAGAGTATGAGTTGCGTTTAATTCTCCAGGACTAGTGAGAGATGAATGGTCAGGAACACTCAACGTGATGTGGCTGATTTGATGACTATTTGTAGTAAAAGTAGAGGGAAAAACATATGTGTTGGAGCGCTTGAACGACTTGCATCCTAATTGATGAATTCTTAGTTATGTGTTTTTCTATGATTGTATTTAGATACAAACTGATCGGGTGAGGGAATGAAAGAGAGTACATAACTGGTGCTCTGAAAAAACAACAATGATATTTTTTTTGAACATTTTGGAAACTTCAATGATATTTTTTGTACTAAAATATGTCTTTTGTTGGTATTCTATGTACAAATGATATACTTCAATGATATTTTTTGTACAAAAAAAAAACAATGGTAATTTTTGAATATTTTGGAAACTTCGTTACCTATTTAAGTCATTTTTCCGTTTACCTGAGGTAACCGGTTACCAAAATGTTTTATTTGAACACATGTATTTCGTTGGTATTTTGTATATAAAAAATATATTTTAATGATGTCTTATTTACTAAAAAAATAGTTTTTTTTTATATATTTTTAGAACTTCTCTTACCTGTTATTATATATATATTAAATCCAAGGGACCTTATGAATAGTAATCTTTTTTGCTTTATGTTTTTGCCACAATTGTTTGTTGAATTTGACATTTTTAGTCCTCGAAGTGAAAACTCTTACATTTTTAAGTTTTGATTAAGTTTTTGTGCCTGTAGATTTTTGCCACAAATCTTTAGTGACTTTGACACTTTTCGTCCTTACAGTCAAATCTTTTATATTTTGATGTTTTTGCCATAAATTTTTAGTGACTTTGACACTTTTATATTTTGACATTTTTAGTCCTCGAAGTGAAAACTTTTACATTTTTAAGTTTTTGATTAAGTTTTTGTGCCTATAGATTTTTGCCACAAATCTTTAGTGACTTTGACACTTTCGTCCTTGCAGTCAAATTTTTTATATTTTGATGTTTTTGCCATAAATTTTTAGTGACTTTGACACTTTTCAACCTTACAGTCAAAACTTTTACATTTTGACATAAAAAACACAAAAATCCTCCTTTAGACTTTTGCCACCATATTTTTCCAACTTTGGCAACTTTTACATTATAACCACAACATTTTTGGCTTTTATCCATCAATGTTCTTTATTTTGGTTGTACACTTTTGACATCTACTTTTAGGGGCTGTCGGTTTTCTCCCTTATTTGTGACGATTTATACTTTCAATACTTCTTTTAAAGTTTGCCGATATTTAACTTCTGTGACATAGTCCAAAAGCTGCCGAGCCTTTCCAGTTTCAAATGAAATCCCTACTTCAAGTCGATAAATGGTCAAACCTAGCGCAATCCAAAACTGAAGCCGGCTCCGCTTACAACCTAACTGTTGGAAACCACCATCGAGACACACAACGAGAAGATCGAAGAGCAATGGCGGTGATGGAGAAGCTCAAGATGTTCATCGTCCAAGAGCCTATAGTTGCTGCCTCCTGCCTCATCGGTGGCTTCGGTAATCCCCCCTTTCTCTTTGATAAACCCTAATTCCTCTAGTTTTCTTCCGATCGAATCAAATTCAAAGTTTCAAACACAAGCTGTAGTATGTGATTGTCTAAGATCTTTATGCTGTTGGAATCATCGGATGTTTTCATTTTATCAACTTGAACTTTCGTGATTTAAATCATGTTTTTATCATTAGCGTTTTTATTCTGAAATTTGGTTACTTTTACATTTCTGAATCATTCTTTCGATACTAACATCTTGTAACTCATCGGTTCAAATCGATATTGCATTTTGCCTTATCTGAACTATTGTTTTCTATGCGATCTAGTATTTTGAATCCTGGGAAGGGGGTTAGGTAGAAGGATAAGATATGCATACTTCAATGCTTTTGATTTTTCTCAAGATTCAAAAACTGGCCTCTACTTTTTCTTTACGTGGGACTTGAGAATGCCAGATCTCTTCATTATTTAACTTGACAATACTTTATTTATGGTACTTAATGGGGAAAAAGAAACAGGGGATGAATGCTTAAAATCCATCTGAATGAGCATGAAAAATGAAAAAAATAACATCAAACTGTTGAATGTTGATTGTTGAAATCTTCAAGCTATGTGAAAAAAACGAGCTTAATGAAGTCTGAATGTATTTGTTTGTCCATTTTAACCTTTTAAACAACTATTTTGAATTAAGAATCATATAATTAAAACTTTTTTTTTTAGCTTAATTCTTCTGATACACCTAATTTTTATTGTGAATTTTAGGTCTGTTTCTTCCTGCATTCGTGAGGCCTATGCTGGATTCCTTTGAATCATCCAAACAAGTTCCTCAACCTGCTTTAAGCGATGTAACTACTTTCATCTTTTTATTAATTCATACCTTTTTTTACCATTAAAAAAAACCTTTTTTCTAGGTTACATGGTTTTAAAAATAGCAAAATACATGAAAGTTTACCATTTTTTCATCATTTTATGGATTTAGCCACTAAACTGTTATATATTTTTTTATGGAATCTTACAGGTGGTTGCAGGCATGACTGGTAAAAAGTAAATTGATGATTGTTTTTGTAATTTTGTACCCTTTGCCCATGTTTGTTTCACTTCAATAGACTCGGGTTAATAAGATTTATGTTTAAATGATTTAATGTAAACTAAAACTTGTGTACACACTCCCAACTTTGCTCGACTTATTTAGGTTTTCTTGAGCCTAAATGATAATATGTTTGAGCTTCATACCAATTTAGGGGTGAGCTAAATTTGATTATTGACATTTGCACTTGAGATAAATTTATTTTTGTTCTAAATAGTAAAAATATCTTAAATAAATATTACTAATGAAGTTTTGGGAGTTTAAACAATAATTTTTGTGATATCCGATGTTCTTTTCAAGTTTAAGTTTCGTATTATATATTGGGTTTTTGTAAGTTCGAGTTTTCTAGAAAAAGACACGTTTAACTTTTTCAATCCATCTTAGGTGCTTTTTGAACATAAATGTAAGAAATTGTAAGAATTTTCAAACCAATTTATAAACACTTAGCAAGACATAACAACATACTTTTAAACATGATAGGGGCTTCTAAAAGTATGTTGCTATTTTTTTTTCCAAAAGGAAATACATAAAATTTATGAATTCATGTTTAAATACACATTTTCTATTTCTTTAAAATGGTGTCCAAATGTTTATACAAAGTTCCAAATGTATGTTTTGACCGGTGCAACTTACAAAAAATACATTCTATGTTGCTACCCATGTAAATACATTACTATTATTTACATATTATAGTTATCAGGAAAAAAAAGTGCAAGTATGTTACTGTATTTGGTAAGTGAATGTAAGTGTATTGTTATTTTAGGTACAAAAAAATAGAGTATATTGCCGATATTGGTAAAAGAACAAAGCACATTGCTTTTCTTTGATATTTGTTTTTTTATTTAATGGACGGGAGAGAACTTAATCTGGTAAGTACATAAAGATCTAATTAATAGAGAAAGTCATGATAATGGGGCCTTCATGCACGCATTTAATTTTTTCCTATTATTATTGTAAGCATACCTTCATTTTCTCAAATCTTTTTAAATACCATTTACCCTTACAAAAACTTACAAAATAACCCCAAGAGACCACATATCAGCAGTATGGTTGTAGGGTTCTCTTACTAATTTTGGAGTCATGTACAAAGGAGTACCTGAAAGAAATAATTGCATTAATGATTATAGAAACCTTAAATAAGTAAAAAAAAAAATGAACTGACACCTACAAAAAAGTGTAAAAATAAATTTCCATATAAATCAAGAATCGACCTTATTAGTCATGTAATCACTCACTTTGATAATGATAAGCTGTCATTAAGCAATCTCGTAACACCAACATCTTCAAAAGATTCTACCTCAATTACATGATGTTCATTCTAGGTTATTAGAAGAGAGGAATACCATTGGTCAAATATCTTTTCACTGTGTTTTTCTGGTAAAAACTATTATATTCACCGCATATCATTGTTGGTTGAACCCTACCATTTTACTTATATTTGACATTGTTTTGTTTCTTATGTTCAAATTAACGATAATGATAATCAAAGCGCAATTGTTGCTCTGCAGAGGATTGGAGTGGCTACCGAGGGAACTATTTGGGCCTCTTCTAAGACCCAACAAAAAGAAGAAAAATAACAGAGGTCTGGTGATCAGCTTATATCATTTTCTAGAGAGAAACAAAGAAAAATAACAGAGATTTAGTGATCCCCTTACGAAAAAAAAATCGACAATATTGTCTTCCTTATCTTCCCATTTACTCTCCATTTTTCTAAGCCAACTGAAGAAGAAAACAAACCTATTTGAATATTGATTCCATTTCTTGCTTCTCATCCCCACATTGCTGAAAACAAACTTGTTAAATTAATAATTTTATTTTCTATAAACCCAATCAAGAAGAAAGAAACAGGTCTAATAAACTTCATGTAAGAAAAATAGAAAAACAATATACTCCCTCCATTCCAAAATTATTGTCCACCTTACTATTTTAGTTTGTCCCAAAATTATTGTCCACTACCAAAAGTAGATATACACTTTTACCATATTACCCCTAACATTTAATAAAATAAACTTAAATAATTACAAACGCTCATTTCCCATTGGTTTTAGAAAAGGGCAGGAGGGTAATTTTACTCAAAAAGACAAAACTAATGATTGATTTTCTTAATCTATGTGTTTTTTGTCTGTGGACAATAATTTTGGGATGGAGGGAGTATACCTTTTCCATGGGGAACCATCTTTGGGGTGCGACGATGGATTTTAAGAAAATAGAAGCTTATGGTGGTAGGTGTGTGTAGCAGCAATGTGATTTTAGCAGTGATGTGTATCTATTGAGAGAGAGAGAGAGAGAGAGAGAGAGAGAGAGAGAGAGAGAGAGAGAGAGAGAGAGAGAGAGAGAGAGAGAGAGAGAGAGAGAGAGAGAGAGAGAGAGAGAGAGAGAGAGAGAGAGAGAGAGAGAGAGAGAGAGAGAGACAGAGAGAGGGTTGTGGTGGTTGAGCGATTGATGTGAATTATGAACGTGGTTTGGCATGCGGAATTAAAGATTGCACAATGAACACGGTGATTTCGGTGTTTAAGAGATGTATTAGAATATGTATGGTGTTACACAAAAAAGGATCTAGATCTAGTCTACATAAATAACACACACTTATACACTCAACTTTTACACCTCTCAAGCACACCTCCACAAGTGGTATGGACCCACCTTATATAGAGGTGTTTACATGTCTCTCTCTCATTCTCTATCTCATGAGTCAAAAGGCTAATACACCACATGCAAGTGGGTCTACAAAAGTCAACACATTACAAAGTCATACATGAATAACTTTGTACCCCAACATTCTCCCCCTCAAAGTTAGGAATGGATGACCCACTTCAAATCTTCTAAAATCGAGCAACTACGCGATCCGAGCCTCAAGGGTGACACATGTCGAAATAAACTTCAAATCTTCAATTCTTCCATGATTCTTTAATTTGGGCTCTAGGATGTGAGACCATACAAACCGAACATCAACGAATGATCAAGAGCTTCTCAAACTCCAAATAATCATCCAAAAGTTGAGCATAAAAACACACCCCAAAAATCTTCAATAAAACCAAACCAATTTCAAAATGAAATCACTTCCGAATCTCCAATCGCTTCATTTCGTATACTTCAAAAATTCAAGGTCACTTCGGTCTTCAAATCCGCGTAATATGAAAAATTCAAGTTCGAATTTCCATATAAATTTCTCCCCCTTTTTATAATCGAAATTTGATTATAAAACTTTCAAGGAAAGAGAACGTGCTCTATTCGGAATTTTTCGTGTCAAAACCCCCCCTTAACATGTGGCATAAACTTTGTGCTTCAATCCAGAAAATCCAAAAAATCTTCAATTTTTAACTTCGTTTACGGACCGTCTTTGACAAAATTTCTCAAAAAATGGGTAGAAATTGTCAATTTCAAAATTCTGCAGTGACCCGGTGCGCCCAAAACAGCCAAAAATGCGAAACTCTCCCCCTTTTTCGAAGTTGGGTAGAAAGCGTCAATTTGCATTAACTACAGGGGCCTAAAATGCATTTTCTTCAATTTCTCAGCAAAATCAGTCTTTTTTCGAAATTGGTTATGAAGAACCAATTTTTCGAAATATGAGGGACTACTTTCGACAATTCTGCACTTTTCTTCAATCTGTCAAAAATTTGGTCCAAATTCGAAAGTAGGCAAAAGGTGTCAAACTTTCGAAAGTGCTGGGACCATTTTCGAAACTTCTATGCTTTCTTCTCCAATTTCGTTAATCTGGCAACCTTCCCTTCGTTAATTACAATCACCAAATCCTCACCACCATTTTAACGAAATTTTTCAAAACCATTTTAACGAAAAATTTTCAACACCATTTTAACGTAACTCTTTCTTCTTCTTTAACGTAACTCTTTCTTCTTCACTTCGTTAATCAGGTAATGAACACCATTTTCACGAAATTTTTATATCTTCGTCAATTCGTCAAAATCAACAACAATCAAGCCTTCAATCCAATTCGTCAAATCAAAGCTCCAAGCTTTCGTTCTTTAGGCAACAATCCTTCGTTATCATCACCGTTTATCCTTTCCAATCCGTCGGCACCAAAATCTTCGATTATCGACATCAACAGCGACTCGATATCAACGATTCCAAATCTAAAATTAATTCATCAAAGTCGACCTTTCCCAGTTCGTTCCTTCGCTTTTAGCGTGCCAACCAAAACGATTCTTCCCACTTCGAAAGCAAAGCTTATCTTCCCAGTCGACTTCAAAATCAATCGACTCCAATAAGCAAATTCCAAACCTTCGAATTCATCATCCCAATTTCGAAACAAAATCATCGACTATCCAAACAACAAATACAAACTGCAAGCCTTCCCATTCGACAGTCGACATTAACGATGATGATCAAATAACACCAAAAATCTTTGAATCCTTCCCATATGCGAACTGAATATCAAGACAAATCACTTTTGCATTCTCCTTATACCCATCGATATCTATCTATTCGATATCCAAGCTTTATCAATCAATTTCAGTATCTAATTTACTGAATCGATGTTTGGGATTCTGATTTTGACTATTTCATATTTGACTTTTTTCAATCTTCAAACCACAATCAAAAACTTTTTAGTTCAATTTCAGATCAAACAAGCTGTTCGAACAGTTCTTCATCACTCGTTCATCATGTTCATGTCCAAGATTTATAAAAGCTCAAAATCAATTTCTGATTTCTCAAATATAGCTCGAATAAGATCGATATCATCATATAACAAATCATATGAAATCGATTTATAACCACATATTATCAAAGAATATTGATTGATTAAAAGAAACGAGAAAACGAAAACTAGAACACAAGAACAATCGTGATAAAAAAAACTTTAAGCATACATCTTTGTAAGGCTCCGACGAAACAACGGGATTTATCATCAAATGATTTTAATCCACCTTGGGCTCAAGCAACGAAATCAGATCACAAAAATGAATTATTTGGGCTCAATTTGGATAAACTGTAAAGGTAATAGATCGAAACCTATTAGGCCATTGAAGAACAATACCTGGATAGATTTTGTCATACAATTTGAGCTAATAAAAATTTGATTAAGAACATCTTAAACAATATGAATTTTGAGCCGATGATGACAAATTCAATTCACATTTGGATAGTATTTGATTAAAATGAATAATTGTGAATCGAATTAAACAATTGTAAATTGCGAATCGAATCAAACAAACGAAAATGAGATTGGATAGGGTCTTTGATCAAAAAAAAATTATTGGATCACAACAAATGGGGTTTTCAAAAAAAAATTGATCCAATGAGTCAAATGATCACAAATCAAAAATGCAACGCACGATTCAACAAGATTAAGAGAGATCATAGACTCACCAAAAATGCTTCAATTGTGACAAATTTTGCCAAACCGAGAATCGTTCTTCAAAAAATCACGTTGATCTTTGAAGACCCGCTCTGATACCAATTGATGTGAATTATGAACATGGTTTAGCATGCGAAATTAAAGATTCCACAATGAACACGGTGATTTCGGTGTTTAAGAGATGTATTAGAATATGTATGGTGTTACACAAAAAAGGATCTAGATCTAGTCTACATAAATAACACACACTTACACACTCAACTTTTACACCTCTCAAGCACACCTCCACAAGTGGTATGAACCCACCTTATATAGAGGTGTTTACATGTCTCTCTCTCACTCTCTATTTCATGAGTCAAAAGGCTAATACACCACATGCAAGTGGGTCTACAAAAGTCAACACATTACAAAGTCATACATGAATAAATTTGTACCCCAACATCGATGTTAATAGAGAAGGATGAAGACGAAAGGTGGTGGTGGTTCATTGTGGGTGCGGTAGCCTGGTGGCGGAGGGATTAGGGTTTATAGACCGAGAGAAGGAAAGGGAAAGTGGGAAAAAAAATTCTACAAAATAAAGCATGTAATCAACCTCTTTGAAGAAGCGTGTCGAGAAGGAAGAAGTTGTTCATGCACAGTAGAAGAACTATATCGTGATGTGCTCTTATATACAGTGTAACAACATTTGACAGATGTTAGAGTTTATAATACCACAATGGATGATTGTTTTAGACCTCACCATCTCATCTACATCGAGTCAACCTATACCCTGCATAATATGGAATGACACTAAGGTGGTGGTGTACTGGTGTTTGTTTTTGAAGAGGTAAAATGTTTTTCCTTAAATGTCTTTCCCATCGCCGACATAAAATGCCAAAAAAATATTTTGTCAAAAAACAAACACCACCTAAATGCATCTACTATTACAAGAAATTTGCCATGTAGAAAACATAATACAAAAAGTATAAAATCATAATCATATTTAGAAACCCTAGTATGGCAACTAGCATAACATATCATTGTCTTATGTATAAACCCTATCATGGCAACTAACATAGCATATCATCACCTCATCATGTTATACATAAACCCTAGCATGATGATACAAAAACATTTTTTTAGTAGACTAATTCTTATTTCCATTACGCATGCATTTAGATATAGGCCCATGTTTCCTTACTTTCCTGTCAAGAGTAGTTGTTTTGGGTCATGTCTTCCATTTCCTGTGTGTTCCC